AGGCTAGTTTTAGCTTTTTAGTTTATGTAATCCAGGGTGCTTTAAGGCAGGCTGGATTCTCCTGGTATTTCCCCCTTTTCTCCCCATTAAAATAATAACCACGCAGACAGTCTTGTAAAAGGTAAAAAAAATAATATTTACTCACTCAGAATACTTGTTGAAGAGTAGCAGGTACGGCAGCTTTCTTCGGGCAGGCTTAAAATGGTCATCTAGTTACAAGGACATACTTCAGTCTAGTTCAAAATGGAATCTGAACTGTGGCTCAGACTTAGCAGATGTTCTTACATGGCTGGAATGATGGTGAGAGAGCAAAGAGGAAGTGCCTATGCGCTCCCCCTGATGGGGCACAGTGGGCGTGTCTCTCAGAGTTCTCTCTAGGAAACTTACAGGAAGAAACTCTGAGGGCCTCAGCTCCTGTCATGTGCCTGTCTAGCAAACATGCATTGTCGATTTGACTGCATTGTAAATATCCCACAATCCAGACTTAATAGTTTTTAATAGCCCTTCCCCCTCCCTTTGGACGGTACCTTTTCAACGCTGGTTCCAGGTTCGTGTGGGCCTTAGGGCAATAGAGCATCACCAAAGGAACATAGGAACCACCTTATACAGTGGTACCTCGAGTTAAGTACTTAATTCGTTCCGGAGGTCCATTCTTAACCTGAAAATGTTCTTAACCTGAAGCACCACTTTAGCTAATGGGACCTCCTGCTGCCACCGCGCGATTTCTGTTCTCATCCTGAATCAAAGTTCTTAACCCGAGGTACTATTTCTGGGTTAGCAGAGTCTGTAACCTGAAGCGTATGTAACCTGAAGTGTATGTAACCCAAGGTACCACTGTACTGAGTTGGGTCCCTCTAGCTCACTGTTGTCAAACACTGACTGCTGCTAGGTCTCCCAGACCCATCTGGAAATGCCATGAATTGAACCTGAGACCTTCTGCATACACAGAAGATGCTCTGCCGCTGAACTGTGGCCCCTTCCCAACTTTCTCTTTTTTTAGGCCTGATTTTCCATCCACACCACTCATTCCCTCTACTGAGAGGGCCCCTGGACCTCTGCCCTCATGGCGCCACTGGGAGCTGCACACAGGCATGGAACTTACCCTGCCAATCAGCAAGGAGCAGCAGCTGCCGGAGGCGGCCAATCTGGTGTCCCCTTAAAGGGCAGCAGAGTCAGAGACTGATAGATCTGGACTTGAGGGGGGGGAGGCATGGGATTCACTCCGGAGACATTCTCTTGCATGAGACCCAATGAAATGAAGAGTTGGGTGGGTGGGGACTGTGCCATATCCCGGCTGGCTCTTCTCAGTCTGGCCTGTGCCAGAGGATTCCCCAGTGGATTACATGCTTGTTCCATGGAATAATGGAGGGACGTCCCTTGGGATGGCTCACCTTTGCCCACCCAGATGAAGCAAAAGACAGGGCCCATGGCTCAGAAGCAACCCCGAAACCCCTGACTCCCTTTGGTAAACAAAAGGACACTACTTGATGGCCCCCACTGAAAAATAACCATAATAATTGGAGGAGGTTGAGAAGTGGCCCTTACAAAAGATTGATTTGCTGGGTGGGCCAGAGGACAGGCCTTCTGCTGCTGCTGCTGCTAGAGAGGGGTGTGTGTGTGTGTGTGAGAGAGAGAGAGAGAGAGAGAGAGAGAGAATGGGGGAGGGAAGAGGGATGGGGAGATTCTTTTGACATAAGGTCTCTAACATCCCTTCCTCCTGGGTGATTTTACAACCAGCCACATAAAGGTACACTCCAAATATCCTCCTTCCTTCCCTATTCCCCCCCTTCTATTGTTTCCAACCCCTTAGCTGTCGTCCCCCCCATCTCATCTATCTCGCTTCATCTTGTCAGGGCTGCGTAGATCTGATCTGTCTGGGGCTGGGTCTTTTCTTTCTCCCGTTCGTTCGTTCTTTCTTTCCTTCCTTCCTTCTCCCTCTTTCTTTCTTTCTTTCTTAAGAGTAGGGAGTGACAGATGGCGGGCCCGCTTTCCCCCGAGAGCGAGATCTCCCTACATGCGAGCGCATGTCAATCACCGCAGCTCATGTGATAACTCCAGCGGATGACGTGCCAGCCATATGGTCTGGCATCAGAGTTGGTACCCCCTCTGCCTGCGCGAAGCGTGCCACTTCCCTCCTCCTTTTGGATAAGACACTGAAGGAGACGGGGTGGACCTCAAGGAGCCTGTGCCTCTCTTTTTTTCCTCTCTCTCTCTCTCTTCCTCTTCTTCCTCCCCTCTAATTTTCTCCCCCCCCCCCTTACTCCCAAAAGATGCGGGGTCCGAGGACTTGAAGATTCCTCCGCTCAGCTTTGGAGGTAAGTTATGTAAGGAAGAGAGAGCGGGGCAGAAACTTGAAAGGATGGGGTCACGCAACTTGCCTCCCCACCCCACCCCACCCCCGGCCACCTCCTTGGATCTCTCCCTCACTACAGATCTTATCTCTCTTTCTATCGACGCCCCCCCCCCTTCTGCGCACACACAATTTATTTGTATCTTTGGGGGAAGAATGGCTAGAGAGGGGGATGCGCGCGGGGGGTGGGTGGAATAAGCTATCTCTAGGCAAGATTTTTTTATAGATCCAAAATCGCTTATGTAGCAAAGACCGGTTTTGCATGAGATGTGTGTGTGTGTGTTTTTAAATAGATCTCAGCAGCCTTTGTGACACGTTCAAAGATACCATTTAAAAAATAAGAATAAGAATCAAGCAGAGATCTGAGCAGACGATCCGGTGAAATACAATTTTCCAATTGTATTTAATAATAATAATAATTAAAAGAAAACCCGAAGAGCCTTATCATTGAATCGAAGCTGTAGCACTTATTGGAGTGAACGGCACTCTCTTCAGCTCATCTACGGAGCTGTTGGTTTTTAGCTTGAGGGGTTTTTTTAGGAGTGGGTGCATGTGTTGGGTGATCTTTCCCCATTCTTCTTCTTCTTCCTCTTTTTTGTGAAAACCGGCTCCCACCCCTCCGTAAGCAAAACACAGCGAGTGCAGATGCTCGCACACGAACTGCCAAGCGATCCTTCGGTTCCCCGTAGTTTTGGAGCAAAAGGCTCCCTAGGAAAATGGTCTTCAGCGGGGTCTGCATGTGGGCTAATGGAGCCGGTGTAGGGAGGGAGACAGGCGGAAAGCAAAAGCGACTGGAACCGGGTGGGATCTAGCGATTCTGCAAGAGCATCGAGTAGCTCAGGGAGCTTTTTTTAAAATAATAATAATAATAATAATAATAATAATAATAATAAATCAAATTAATTGATTGAATGATCGATCAACGTGTTATATACCCAGAATGTTCTTTTAGGGGTTTAGGTACGAAACCATTCCCTGAAAAAGAAAGAGCGTTGGCAGGACTCAAACAGTTTAAACAAAAACAGGACATGGGAAAATTGACAGGAACGAGAAGTTATGAGGGTTGGGATGTGATGGAGGAACGCGAGGATGGGGGTGGCTGGGGGCAGCGGGATGCAAAGTTCCAAATTCTAACATTTCGTTCGAATATTAATATTAACATTGATTTTAAAAAGAAAAAAGAAAATCACCCAGAAATTGCGCTGGACCATTGGGTTATCAAGCTTGGGGTGGGATGGGACGGAGAAACCGGAGAGAAAAGTTACAGATTTCGCTTGGCATTCTCTAGATCTCCGCCTCAAAGCTCTCCAGAGATATAAACAGAGGCAGGCTGGCTGGAAGAGATCGACGTATATATACGAGCCGGGGAGGCAGAGGAGATGGGGCGTAGCGATTTTAAATTCCCTTGAAGCTGGTCGCATAAACATGAACCTTAAATTAAAAAAACAAAAACAAATAAACAGCCCCTTAAAGAAATCGGAGAAAATATCCACTACATTTCAACAACAACAAAACGAAAGGGTGTGTGTGAGAGAGAGAGAAGGAGGGAGGGAGGGAGGGAGGGAGGGAGGGAGACAGAGACTGTCTGTAATGAACCGGATCTATCAGAAATATTGCACCAATTCCGCAGCAAAGCAATGGAGACACCAATTAATTTTAATCACACTTTAAAACGAGTCAATTGCTTTTATGGAGGGGAGGGGGGAGCGCGGTTTCAGGCCAGTTCTAAGCCGCTCTCGCATCCCCTCCTCCTCCTACAAAAGCTGTGCTTAAATTAGACTCCCGTTAAAAGTATGGGTGGGAGTGGGGAGGGAGCGGGAGATTTTGTCTCTGATCGAGCGGAAGGTAACCAGGATTATTTTGACCAGAGCCGCTGCACGTACTTCGAGGCACAACGTTTGGGAGAAGAGTGCAATAAAAAGGTTGAGTCGGGCTTTAAGAAGCGCCCTATCTTGTTATTATCTGGGGGGTTCAGAGGAGTGAAAATGCAGGAGTTAAGGGAGAGGGGGGGCTAAAGGCCAGAATCTCACGACTTCCTTCTCTAAAACACGCTCTGGAATGTTTAGAGAATCGTCAGCGCGTCGGATCTGGATGGGGATCACGGTTAATCGATTTGATCCATTTAAAAAAAAGAAAAAGAAAAACAAGACTTCAACGAACAAATTATGGGGTTCGAGAACAAACGCAGAACCGGGAAAGGGGTGGCTGGCTGGCTGGCTCTTAAGCACGTCCAAAGAACGGATTTCACCCAGCCATCCCGGAAGAGCCACCTGGCATGTTCCAATGACAGCGCAAAGGCATATATTTTGGGACGCGACGCTCTGCACATCCTTGCAGATCGTAGGCAAAAGTTGGGTTATTTTGCTTGGGGAGGGAAGGCCCTTCAGCCTTGGATGGGATGGGAAATCGACCCATGCCTTGGTAGTCCTAAATGGGCTTGAAACCGTGGACCAGTCAAGGTTGCTCCGGCTTTAGGATGAAGTTCCAACAGTCCGGAATAGTTTGGATGACGCGCGTGCTTAGAGTTAGGGCTGCTGAGGTTCTGAAAGAAACTTGTGCTCTTATTCTCGTTTCCATTCCTCCGTCCCTTCCCCTCCCTCCCTCCCTCCGTCCTCCCCCTCCCCGCCCCCATGTCACCTCTGCAGCCACCATGTTGACGCGACTCTTCAGCGAGCCCAGCCTGATCCCAGAAGTTCAGAAATTCTCCAGCTGGGCAGACGACTGCGACGACGAGGACGACGACGACGACGAGGCCAGCGATAAAGATGAGCGGAAGGGCAAGAGCTGCCCTCTCCAGGACGAGCAGACCGACGGGGAGGCCAAAGACGACCACGACTTAGGGGGCGAGGAGGAGGAGGAGGAGGAAGAAGAAGAAGGGGTCGAGGAGGCGGAAGGGGATCGCCCCAAGAAACGGGGCCCCAAAAAGAGGAAGATGACCAAGGCCCGGCTGGAGCGCTCCAAGTTGAGGCGCCAAAAGGCCAACGCCCGCGAGAGGAACCGCATGCACGACCTGAACGCCGCCTTGGACAACCTCCGCAAGGTGGTGCCTTGCTACTCCAAGACTCAGAAGCTGTCTAAGATCGAGACGCTGAGGCTGGCCAAGAACTACATCTGGGCCCTGTCGGAGATCTTGCGCTCGGGCAAGAGGCCGGACTTGGTGTCATACGTGCAGACTTTGTGCAAAGGCTTGTCGCAGCCCACCACCAACTTGGTGGCGGGCTGCCTACAGCTCAACTCGAGGAATTTCCTGACCGAGCAAGGCCAGGAGGCCGGCAGGTACCACGGGCCCAACTCCACCTTTGCCATGCACCCTTACACGTACCAGTGCTCGCGGCTCTCCGGCGCGCAGTGCGCTTCCAGCACCATGGCTAGCTCCCACGCCCTGCGGACGCACGCCTACTGCGCCACCTACGAGTCGCTCTATGGGAACGCGTCGCCAGACTACAATAGCTCGGAATACGATGGGCCCCTGAGCCCTCCTTTGTGCGTGAACGGGAATTTCTCCCTCAAGCAAGACTCTTCCCCAGACCACGAGAAAAACTACCACTATTCTATGCACTACTCCGCCCTCCCGAGTTCCCGCCCGTCCGGCCACAATTTGGTGTTCGGGTCTTCTGGGATGCGCAGCGGCGTCCACTCGGAGAACGTTTTGCCTTATGAGATGCACCTCCACCACGACAGAGGTCCCATGTACGAGGAGCTCAATGCTTTTTTCCATAATTAACGACTCCTCCCGCCTTTGGGCTCCCCTTCTGGTTCCACGCCTAACCAGGGCCACCTGTAGATCCCCAGTGGGTTGCGTTCGCGAAAGGGATAGGCGTGTGTGTGGTTCTGTGCGCGCGTGTGGGCGATTTTTATTTGGGGTGGGGGGCAACGGCCCTTGGCCTTCTCGAAGCCCCTGCTCGCCTCTTCCCGAGAGCTGCAACTTTGCATTCAACTGTGAGCCACTTTCCCCCGCAGTTAGAGAGGCGTAATCTAAATAATAATAATAATATTAACAACAACAATAACACCCATTCCCATCCCTAAACCTATTGAGCCGGGCGTACTTGTTTCAAAGCAGCGTGTGGAAGGCGGGTTCAGCCCGATCTACAAGACACTTAGGCCGAAGCCACGGACTTGACTCACCTCGAATCCGCTGGGATTCGACGGGGTCGATTCTGTTTGAAGTCAATGGTCTTCGGCTTAAATGAAGAGTCGACGGAGCTGATGAAGCGCCCTGTTTCCTATGGGACTCCTTACTTGACTGGGAGTTGGGGTGTAAACCGGATCTGAGACCTGGTCTCCTCCTCTGCCCCAATTACTAATAAAAGAAATCTGGTGCAATATATGCTCTAATGCAATTTATATGAGAAAGCAAACTATATAGCTTCGTGGACTGTTTAGCTGAGGTCTTGACTATCTAGAAAGGAGGGTTTTAGATCCAAATCGGAAGTGCTATTAAGGAAGGGGGGAAAACATCAAATTTATGGGGCGTGTGTGTGAGGGGGAGTCAAAGGTTCGCCCCACCTTAAGCGATTGCCTATATTGAGCAATGCTCAATATAGGCATTTAATCTAGAGACCAGAATGGCTGTAGAGCGAAATAATTCAGTACAGGGCAGGAGATGGTGGGGGGAGGGGGGCTTTCCATCATTCCAGCAATTGATTCAAGAATTCCCCGAAAGTTTAATCTATTTAAAGACGTGCTTGTTTGTTTGTTTTAAAAAAAAAGTTTGCAAACTTTAAGTCAGACTTTCAATGCAGTGAGAACTTTAAAAAAGCAATAAAGGGGCAAACAGATGATAAATATATTCTATCTTTATCTATGCAAGTAGGTACTGAAACTAGGGAAAAAGTTTTTAAAATGAAGGAAAAGGAAAACAAAAAGGAAAAATGAAAAACAACAACAACCAAGAATCCATATGAGATATTAGAAATATGGACCAACAAACTCGCTGAGGTTTAAAATCGAGCACTTTTTTGATTTGGGGGAAACGGACTGTGGTATGTTTCCCTGGTATTTAACAATCACTGACTTTTTGAAACCACCCTTGTAACCCCAAGTAACTTATTTTCCAAAATTCGTGTGTCATGCTGTTTTTTACCTGTTTTAAAAACGTTAATGAAAAAAAAGTGGAAAAAAAGATTTTTATGAAATGACAAAAATGTTTTGTTATGCATGGATAGGAGGGGGAAACGCAAATATGCAAAATTTAAAGGTGATGTGAAAAATAACACTGATTATTATGCTTAATTCTTACGTTGGCTAGTTTTTTCCCCTCCCAATTAATAGTAACTCTTAATTTCTTTCTTTCTGTAATGCGTTTTTTGGGGGGAGAAATACGTTTATGTAACAATACACCAGTATATAAATCTCTATATAAAAACCAACATCTTCGAAAGACTCAAACTGGTATATTTTTCCCCCAACAGAGTAATGATTCATTTCTCGTTCCTTTGATGACTTGCTTTACAGCCAGGGGGATATGTCAAAATATTGTCTCAGATTCCCAACCGCCAACCCCTTATTTTAATATGGCCCTGCATCACCTTTAAACATACCAGCATTTTTTTAAAAAAATAAATAATCAAAAGCAAAAGGCACACATTTCTAATTGATATTTTTTAAAACAAAACTCAACAACGTTTTACTAAAAAAAAACGAGACCAGAAAAGTTGTAGTTCAGATTGAAATGTCTATTGGACGCCAGAAGTGCTTTGCGTGTGTGCATGTGTACATGTGTGTTTGGTTTCCTTAAGATGAATAAATATTTATGTCAAAATGATATCCTAAAGTCCAAGGGGGGAAGGGGAGGGGGGAGAGATTTTTCCAAGTCTTGTTTTAACAAAGGAGAGTTATTTTCTCTATTGTTTGTTTGTTTGTTTGTTTGTTTTGTTTGTTTGCAGCAAACTCTGTCTTGTTCGGTTCACACATTTTGGAGAGGACACTTTTGTAAGACGGGCTGCCTTTTTCGCGTCTGTCTGGCCTTCTAAAATCTCTCTCCCCCGCCCTCCCCGCGCTTAACAACCCCCCCCCTAAATAATACTTAGCAAAAGGTGAAGACCCTCTATGAATGGAAGATATATAACCCCTCCGCACCCCACACCGGGCCCCTATCACGGGCATCTTTGAAAAATCAGGAACACTAGGGAAAGGTTCCCTTGCAAACATTCTGTGTAGTTGTGGGGTTTGGGTTTTGTTTGTTCGGTTTTGTTTTTGTTTTTTTAATGCATGCATTGTTTAGGGGAAGAAGAAGAAGGGATAAAAAAACAAACAAACCAGAAAGGGGAGGGTGTGTGTGTCAAGCCCTGGTCTTCAATGGTATGTTTTAAGCATTAATTTGCAGATCTTTCGTGAAATGCATCCGAACACTTTTTGACAGGCTGAGAGCTGCGAGTCAGCTATGATCTTATTCAAACGTGTAATGAAGGAGCGTCCTAAGACGACAATTAATAAATATTAAATGTTTACTCCCTCAGGTTTGCTAGTTTACTTCAAACAAGTATATATATATATATATATATATATATGCGCGAGACCCCATTCTTTCATTGTTAGCCAGACACGTTTCTCAAAGAAGAGGCGGGTGGGTGTAAACCCTGAACTGATTAAGATGGCTTCAAAGCATCCTTAGCTTGACAGTATGTCTTTGGAAGATCTACTTAAATATATATAAGAATTCTTCTTTCCCCTCACACACGCTGTTGGTTCTTTTTTTTTTTTTAACTTGGAAGGTGGGCGGAGATCTACTTCTCATTTTATAAAGACTAATGTGGTTTTCTTGTCTTGGACAGATGGCATTTCCCCTGCAACATTCCCTCCCTCCCTCTTTCCCTCTCTCTCACACACACTTCCCTTCTGATCTCATAAGCAAGAGTAAATTCAAGACCAAAGTCTCTCAAAACTATTTACTGGGGTGAACGGTCTTTCCTGGTGAATCTACTATTATTCAGGACTTAAACAATCGATGGATAGCTATTGGGTTCTTTTATTTTAATTTCTGAAAGGGGAGCTTATTTACAAGATAAGAAAACCGGAGCTTTAGGGAGCTGTCCCAAAGACGCGTGGTGCTGAACCGGAAGCTCCGCGGGGAAGCAACAACCGCCAGTGCCCCTGATCTCCTTTTCCCCTGTCGAGGATTCTCGGAGAGGGTGAGCATCCGTTTATGGGTCCTGCAAGGTGGGCTACAAAATATAGGAAAGGGAAGCGTGTCTATTATCCTGCAAGCAGGAGGCAAAAGTTAGGACAGGCGGGGCCAGAGCGGAGATTCTAACCTGGATAACCAACAGGGATATATCTAAGACATTCGTGGTGGCTTTTGGTGGATGTGAATGGGACCCGGTCTATATCAGTGTAGATTTGGTCGATTTCGAGAGTAGAAAAAATGGGGGGGGGTATTTGGAATTCTGGTGCCCCCTTAGATTCATCACAGACTGATAAACACTCGCACAAACTTTTGTCCTTCCATTGAGGCCAATGAACATTGGCCCAAAGCTATACAAGGTACATCACAAGGAGACGTGGACGGGAATTTTGGCTCTCATCATCCTTTTCTTCATCGCCATCATCTCTCTGTACTTGCCCAGCAAAGCACTTACTCTGGAATCCCCCTATTATATAGTAGGCCTGACTTGGAGGCACTGTGCGCTTCCTTCCCGCGCCTTGATATCCAAGAAGTTCTGGGGTTTCTCCATCTGCTGCCTTCAGCAAAGCTGCCCACCCCCAGGGGACCCGATGGAATGCTTAGTTTTTGGATGTCCCTTGACACCCCGGGCCAAAGCCGATCACGCAGAAGTAGGAGCTCCTTGGCATCCGCGGAAGACGTCTCTCTCTTTCCACCGCTTGCTGATGGCCTTGGCACAACCGCACCATCTGAAAAAGTCAAAGATCGCAAATTTTTGAAGGATTACACTACAGCGGTTTGTTTGTGCTTCTTTCACACATACACTTATTTATACACTTAAGTACTTTAGCATGAGCCGGAAGTCAGTGAGCTGCAGCTTTTTTCCAGGAAGTTGCGTTACCCTTCTTTCCTTCCTTCCTTTCCCCACAATTCTCATTCCTTTCATCCACCCATTTCCCCTCCTGTCTCTCTTCCTCCGTCAGCCCCGCTTCCTTCTTTTCTTTAACAAACAGGTGTAACTTTGCCTGGGTGGGGACCCTCCAACCTCCCCACCCCCGCACACCTAGATATGTACCGACTCCCAGCACCATCCTCCCATTCCAGTTTGACAGCGGGCAAACACTCGCCTGATCCTTGCTCTTTCCGCACCTGAACTCACCAGGTACCACTTCTCCAAGCCTCAGCTGCCTTTCTCCCTAGCAACCCGGAAGAGGGAGGCGAGTCTCTGCGCTGCTCTCTCCAAACGCCTGCAGGTTTCGACTCACAGGTGGGCGTCCGTCAGGCAAGCGATCAAAGCCTCTTGTCCCACAAGGTCAGCGTTTTGTTGTAGCTCCATCGGATATTCGGGGCTGGGCTGAAGCAGACTGTGTCCCCCGCGCCAACCCAATCCACAACTCAGTTTTCCTTGAAGCCACCGCTCTGGGGCTGATCTGGGGACTGAATCGGATTCAAATCGGCGTTCTTCTCCTTAGCCGATTGCAAATCGGCCTGAAATCCCACTTCTGCTTAGCTAAGGTGTGGATTTGTATTTTCTCCCTGGGCAAGGCACACCGGGCTGCAGCTTCCATTGGGAATATAATGGCTGCAAGAGTTAACCGGTTTCCACCCGGCTTGAATCA